TGAAGGTGTGGGATTTTTTCCCGGAGCTGCGCCAGGGCAGGCAGAGTGGTGTGGCCGGTCCGAGGAACGGGACAGCTCCCACCCTGCTCACCAACTACCTGGACGTGAGTGACCCCCCGAGAAGAGGGTTTGTCCCCCCAGGGACACCCTGCAAACCTCACCTGGCTCAGGTCTGGGTGAGCCCCTCTCCGGTCTGAGCTGTGCCCCAGTGATGCTCCCTGTGCTGTGTCTCTTCCAGACCCAATATTTTGGTGAGATCAGCATTGGGACCCCTGCCCAGACCTTCAAGGTGGTCTTTGACACGGGCTCAGCCAACCTGTGGGTGCCTTCCTACAAGTGCTCCCCCCTCTACAGTGCCTGTGGTGAGTAGGGGGTCGTGGCCAGGGGTGACCCCCCAAGCTCAGCTCTGAAAGTGGACAATTCTCTCCACCTCGAGGGCTGCTCAGGGTGGGTCAGAGTGGGTTCTGTCTCTTTTCTGACAGAACTTTCTAGGGAAGCCTGTGGCTGTTGCTGTCCTGGCAATGGGGCAGGGTGGGTTCATCAACTCACAGGGGATATTTGGGGGAAATAAAGACCCTCAGCTAGTCCTCTGTGCCTTCACTTGATGTTTTCCTCCCTCTCCCCAGTCTCCCACAGCCGCTATGACTCCTCCAAGTCCAGGACATACATCTCCAACGGCACAGGCTTCGCCATCCGCTACGGCAGCGGCAGCGTCAAGGGCTTCCTGAGCCAGGACATCGTCACGGTGAGCACCAGCCTGGAACCCCAGGGCTGCTGGCTCAGCCAGGAGAAACTCACCTTTTGGGGAGCTCTGGGGGGCTCAGCCCCCCCCAGTTCCCTGCAAGGCTCCTCGTGCCCTCCCACAGGTATCAGACATCCCCATCATCCAGGTGTTCGCCGAGGCCACGGCGCTGCCAGCCTTCCCCTTCATCTTTGCCAGGTTTGATGGGGTGCTGGGCATGGGCTACCCCAGCCAGGCCATCGATGGCATCACCCCTGTCTTCGACCGGATCCTCTCCCAGCAGATCCTCAAGGAGGATGTGTTTTCTGTCTACTACAGCCGGTGAGTCTCGCCGTGGAGCAAGTGTCAGGGTTGGGGTGGGTTTTGGCAGGGTATTGGCCTCACAGTCACAGCAGTGCTGGGTTTGCATCTTGGGGCTGGGAAAAGTCACACCTGGGGCTGTGAAGCTTGGGGTGGGAGAGAGGGCATGAGCCTGTGGAGGATTCCTGGGGTGGAATGAGGAGGCACAAGAGGCAGAGCTTGGTGGATGCTTATCTGGAGCTGCTGGGCAGGGAGTGCCAAGGGGGAGAGGCTGCTCCTGCCTCGTTTGTCACTGTCAGATTGCACAGTCACCAGCTCTGAGTGAGGCTGGAGCAATCCCAGCCAGGAGGGGATTTAGTCTTTAATCTACAGGCCAGATTTAAAAAAAAAAACAAAAAAAAAAAAACAAAAAAAAAAATCTTTTGAGGAAAAACCTGCACCAGCAGCCAAACCTCCTTTCATTTCTTGCCTCAAACTTTTGGGCTCCTTCCAGCATCCCCCAAACCCACTGGCAGGGCAGG